GGGGGCGCTGCCTGCCAGTGGCTTGCTGGCTCATGTTTTGGGGCCACTGAGTCAGGGGCAGTGACTGCTGGCTCTGGGTTGGCAGGCTTGGAGCAGGCACAGGCACTGTGGCCAGAGTCTGCCCCTTTAAGGGTTCCGGGGGGGGCGGGGAGAAGAGTCTTCTTGGTTGAGGCCAGAGTGGCCACCAGAGCACCCTGGGAAGGCTGGAGGCCCCTTATTTTGAAATAAATTTCGACACAGCACTTATTTCAAAATAGCAGTTTCGAAATTGGCGTTATTCCTCATGGAATGAGGTTTACCAATTTTGAAATAAGCCCTCCGCTATTTTGATTTAATTTCAAAATAACGGAATGGCTGTGTAGACGCTAGGATATTTTGAAATAACGGCTGTTATTTCGAAATAACTTTGCTGTGTAGACATACCCTGAGAAAATCCAGAGGTAAAAGGAAAGGTTGACTCCTAACCACCAATCTTATATCGATTATCTTATTGGGAAGTCTGTGATAGGATGCACATTCTCCTCTCGCAGCGCAGTCTAGGTGGGGTTGATTAGGTCCTCCTTCTCTGAGCAGGAAAGGAACCAGGCAAGATTGAAGTGGCCAACTCTGCTAAGCCAAATGCAGTCCAAGGGAAAGTGGGTTTGTCTCAGCCCTTTTCCCCGACAGCTAGGAAAAAATTAGGAAAGAATTGGCTCCAGGACAGTGAGCCCCTCTCCCCCGTCTCCTTGAGGCAGACAAAGCCAGAACAGTGTGCCAAATGGAAGATCTTACCTGAGTTCCACTAACCTATACCAGCTGTTATGCCTTTGAATTCAGTTCAGCTGCCTCTTTCCTCTTCTCCTTTGCTTCCTTGTAGATCGAGGATGGAAGGCTACTGTCACAGTATAGATAGTGCCTGTGATAGTTCCCCCCTCATGCTTTATGAAATTGGTTTATGAATATAAATATGGATAACTCGAGATGATTTGGACAAAATCCCTCATATAACCTATCCAATTTAATGTTACAATCTCCTGGATCTGTATTTCCTATTTTGGTGCACGTATCATTCTTGTACATAAAATTAGAAATATGAAGTATAAGTGTTGATGGTAGAGATGTAATAGTGTAGTTGATTAAACTAGTGGATGCTTGTCGGTTAATGCTATCTGCTACACACATCTCCCTTCCTTCTGACAGTAAATATTTTAGCAGGCTGGCCAGCAGCCTGGCTCAGTCCTGGCTTGCACTGGGTCCAGGAGCTACTACTGCTATGGCTCTGCCCTGAAAGTCATTTAGGAGGTGGACAGGCAGGCAACCTGTCTCAGAGTTTGCTTGTGTTGGGTCCAAGGAACTACCCCCGCTGCAGCTCTGCAAGCAGTGGGTGTGGCTGGCAGGATCTGGACAAGCTGGGACTGAGCTGGGCAGTCTGCCCACCCAGCTCGTAAATGACTTTAAGTGACGAGCCAGAACAAGGTTGCTCCCGGACTAAGGATGTTAAATATCGGTTAATAACTAGGTGGCGTTCAAAGGGGCAGCACCGCATAGCTGATCCCGGGTGCTTTGAAGTACCCCTTTCCCCCACTTTGCTGTCTCTGTCTGCTAGCATTTGCTTATCGGATAGTTGACGAGTCAACTACTCTTTAACATCCTTATCTCGGACCTAGCACAAGCCGGGACTTGTAGTGCTAACCTTTATCAGTGCTTGTAGTGCTAACCTTTATCAATCGTGTAGTTGACAAAATTTGTTACAAAATTACATGCTTTTTAATGTCCCTAGTTTATGGTTTTAAATGTGCTAATGAGAGCCATCGATAGTGCTGCAGAAGCCCTAACTTGTGAACAGCCTTGATTGTCCCGTATGTCCAAGGATGATTGGTGAAACATGACCATACCACCTAGCACCAGGATTCCCGTTTGATCAAGTAATTTTCCATGGAAGGGGGGGGGGGGATGTAGAACAAAGGATTCCTGCCCAGGGAATAGTATATTTAAGCAATGGGAAACTCTGTCCCTTTGTCTTTAGCTGGCTTGGGAACAAAGACAACTGGAGACCAAAGTCAGAGTAAAAGATGATCTTAGACTTTAAGGCTTGCCTGAAATAATAGCTTTTAGGGTAAGAAACTGTTTGCAATAAGTTTTAGTGTATTAGAACTAACTGTGCATTTTCATTTTCATTTTATAACTTACTTTGGTGTGATTTCATTTGCAACCGCTTAAATCTTACTGTTTGTACTTAAACACTTTTTTTTACTATCAAACTCAGTGTAAATAATTGTTACCTGGGGGAACAATCAGTGTGCATATCCTTTCATTGATAAAAGGGGAAGACCTGAATTACCTTTCAGTGTGTAAAACTGTTACACAGAGAAAGATGGATTTATTTGTGATTTTGGTCCCTTTTGGGGGCTGGTTTCCTGAGTGCTGTGCCCTAGAATTGCATTCTTCCAGAGCTGAAGTGGTTCAATGTCTGCATTGCTCTTCAGGGGGCAGTTACCCCAACTCTGTGCCTTATCTGGGGAAGACCAGAGGATCTGGCCTAGCAGGACAGGGTGGTGGGGAGCTCCAGAAGCAAGAAAGCAGGTGCCCTCATAGTTGCTGCTCGTACTATAGGTCCATCAGGAATCTCAGCCCTGATCTTCAGCAGTGTCCCCCTAATCAGATCTATCCCATCCAAACAGGGCTTCCACCCTGGCTCTGTGCTTTGGGAGGCACCCTGGAGCTCAGGGTGGCTTGGGGAACTAGCGGGGGACCTGGCACTGATAGCAGGGGTTGTGACTGCCCTTGCACTCACCAGGAACATTGGGAAGCAGAGCAGCCTGGCCCCAGCCTGGTCTGCTTTCACAACTCCCAGCCATGTGGTATAGCGGAAAGGGTAGAACTTTCCTCATGCTCACTCACAGTGAGAAACGGAGCAATGGGAGACAGCAGAGTGGAGCAGGCTGGGGCCAAGTTTCTCTACTTACTGCCACTGCCAGTGAGTGCGGGGCTGATCCAAACCCTATTGCCAGTACCAGGCTCCCTGCTAATCCTCTGGCTGCATTTCTTGGGGGAAGGTGCTTAGAAGAATAGGTGGAATGGGGGCAGAGCAGGCTCTGGGACTTAGGGAATGGGATGGAGTTGGATCAGGGTGGGGAAGGAAGAGGCAGAATGGGGGACAGGCCTGGGGTGTAGTCCCAATCCTCCCTCACTCCGGGAATGGCCTGGGCACAGTTTCATCATGGCTTTTGGAATACTCTTATTCCTTTCCAGAGTCTGAAGTGAGTTCCTATGTCTCCCATTTCAGAGAATAAGGCTTTCTTGTAGGCAATGTCCTGGAAAGATGAGATCAAGGGAATGGAGTCAGTTGTCAATACACAGCCTCTTGTAACATATCAGATGTATCATTAGCCTACTGGTTACTGCTGGTGATGCCTTGATTGTCTACTTCCTTATCTCTGCTGCATTACAGAAATAGATTCCCCAAGAAAGGAAGTCTCCCTGCTGGTACTGATAGACTAGCTGAAGTTGGTGCTGAGCAATCACTGTGGAAACCTATCTCCAATCTATTGCTGGATTTTTCTCCAGCAGTACTGGTAGACTTGCTCAATATTGGTTTTGAGCTTCTTTGGTGCATCAAGGATTGTCACTGTTACTTCCTTCAGATAGACCTTCAACACTGAAAGGTTATAACCTGCCTCATCTGAACATCTCTTCTACCTCAATGAAAGGTCCTCCCAGTCCTGGTACTAGAGTTTTCTTCTGCAGTACCAGAAGAGCAAGTCCTACGTGGAGTTCCTGAAAAAAAATCTATGTTCCTAGAGATACCTGTGTAGCTTCTAGAGGAAAATCTGCACTATTTTATAGACAGTTTACTCACCACTATAGCAGGGAAATTTGTTCTTCCTATAAATTAGGCAGTTGTGTAGCCTATCAAAGCCTTATGGCAAACCTCATACTGGTAGTTAGTGCATGGAACACAAGAGCCAAATTCCTTCTTAGGGGGTACAAATAGGTTGGAGTGTTTGTGGTTCCACAAGGGGACTGTTTGTAGTTCCATTAAGTTAGTGTAGTAATTCAGGAGTACACAATTGTTGCTGACATGGTTAAATCTTATTAAAGAATATACCACCCTGTGTGTGAGTGTCTGCCCAGTTTATCAAAAGTCCAAGGAAATCTGGCTGATAAAATGTTTTGGCAGTTTTCCTTGTTTCTGGATGCTGATCTTTGCTGAAAGGCAGCTAAAAATACATTAAAATCTTTCCTGAGACTACCTTTGCATGTAAGTACCTCTATTAGTTGCCAAAGAATGCTATACATTCAGGAATGGCGGGAGGAAGAGAAGAGATTGTCTCATGGGCCATCTCTCTATTAAGGGTATGGTCCTCACTATGAAAAAACTATGATAATCCTGGTTCTTTGGAATTTATGCTGTTTCAATAAAAATGTATACAATAAACTCAATAGAAACACTTGGCTTGAGTTAGGAAGCCTACACTTGTTACTGTTTCAGATCTTGTATAGCTCTCATCATGCTGAGCTAACTCTCTCTGAGCTGACTTTTATTTTATCCTCCATCTTTGCCTTTGTTTCATCTTCCTTCTTCCTCTCTGAATATTCTTCTGAGCTCTATTACCATTTACTCCCTTTTGATATTCTCATCTTTGTCTGCCGTGGAAATCCTTGAGAAATGGGGGGGAGGGCCTTCATACTCCATTAAATTTTTTGAAGGTTTTCACTTGAGATCCTGCTACTATGTATTTGAGTAATCTAATTTAATTTACAATACATAGATATTTCACATTAATTCTTTTGCTGACACAGCTTTTAAAATATCAGTTCTACATAACTTCAAAAAATAAACACTTCAACTTTTTTCATTGCTATATCCCAAGAAGCTAACGGTCAAGGGAAGTCTGTGATGGTAATAGCTTGGAGATAATACATTGAGTGTTTCCCCCATGCGGTTTAGAGTATTTCAGGCAGTTGTTTAAACTTTTTTTTTTAATTTGCACAGCAGAACACTAGATTTCCATGGTAGAAGTCCAGTGCTGAGTATACAGTACTCTGTGAAGTAGCTTTGATATGCATAGCCAGTTTTATATGCAGTATTTGTATACTGTCAGTGTATCAGTTTCTTAATATACCACACACTAAACATTTTAGTTTAGTGTTCTGATTATGTGAGGTTCACAGTCAACATATTGGAACATAACATTTAATAATTTAATAGAATATTTTTGTTTTCTTTAAATATTTCTTAAGAAAATACCCAAGTATCTTTCTCTGCTTTAGAGAAGCGAACTGGTATCTTCTCAAGACTTGCATGCGCTCTGCTGCCCTCTAGGGATACTTTATGGGACTGAGTAGAATTCAAAACTCTCATATTGTACAGGTCAAATTTCCCTTTCATTAAGTATGAATTGTGACATTTAAAAAAATAATTTTAGTTTAATGTTCTGGTACTGCTGATAAAATTCACCGCAAAAATTAGACTTAATTCACCCCGAAAACTGTATATTGTACATGTAAACTATGTTTATGTATGAAATATTATTACATATTGAATGAAAAATTTAATATTTGTATTTGCAATCTTTATTGGTAAAAGGATTTCTTCTGCCTTAAATTCATGTTGTAAATATTTTCTTATTGATTAAACAGGGTCAATTTATTAGCATGTATAATTGGGTTCTACTGATTTACAGGTTTTCTGTACAAGTCACCCTTTTTTTTTTCTTAATTTCAGGAAGGCTTTTCATTAATTGATGCTCATAAATGGTTGAAGATAGTAAGAAGGGCAGATTGTCTGTTGTTTGGTTCAAAGTTGAAAGTAAGTTGCATTGTTGTTAATGTTTGTGATAGAAAAATATGGATGTCCTGCCAGGACTTAAATATCTTCAGTTTCATTTTTTTGTATTGATTTTGGTGAAATTCAACAGGAAGTTCAAAGGAGCGGAGAGTAATTTATATGTATAAGGTGAAGATGAAGGAAATTTTTCCTCTAGCTGATGGACCTATGGTTTTCTTACTTGTAGATGGTTTAGAGCCTCTGTACTTTTGGATTCGTCCTACAACAACCATGGATATGATTTTTAAATATATGTGCTTATTTGATGTAATTAAAAGTGTTCCAGATTGTCCTAGATATCTTAACAGGATTATTAGTAGAAAGTGCATAAATTTCCTAGGATTTATAAGTTGTAAACTCAGAACTGTGCTGTGTTATGGGGCATGGATTATGCCTCTGTCATTCAGGTGCAAAATTATTGGGGCATTTCGATCTGTTGCAGCATATCACCTTTGCAAAATCCTATGAGGGTGCAGAACTAGCTGTTCTTTGAGTGATTGCTTATGTGCATTCCAGTAGGTGTATGCACTTACCATGTGCATGATCTTTTACCCTAAAGATATCCATCAGATCAGTTGTGGAGTCTCTGGAGTGGTGCCTTATAGACACTGCCATAAAGACACTGCTGACCCTCATCCTCTCAGTTCCTTCATATGGTCTGTGATAGTTGTTGGAACAGCTCTGGCCTCTTGGTGTCTCAGTACCCTAGTTACAGTTACTGCTCAGTCTTATAGTTGTATAAGATTAAAAACCAACAATGGTCTTGTAGCACCTGAGGCTACGTCTGCACTACGCATTTATTTTGGAATAAGCTATTCCAGAAGAGACTTTCTGGAATAGCTTATTTCAAAATAGCACATCTATACACAAAATGCATATCGAAATAGCGCTTAGTTATTTCAAAATAGAGCGTCCACACTGATTGGATACTAAATCACATTTAAGGCCACCCAGAACCAGTTCAGGCAGGGCATCGTGTGGGTGCTGCTTGAGGCTATCTGAGGTTCATGCTTAAAGGGACCTCCCTGGACAGCCATTTCTCAGGTTTTCCTGCTTGCTTGCCTACCTCTCTGAGGGACAGCAAAGCATTTTCTCTGTGTGGTCTGGTTGACCTGCTTTTGGACACCACAGCACTCTGCTATGAAGCTGGAGTCAGCCTGTGGAACTCCTTGCCAGAGAATGTGGTGAAGGCTAAGACTTTAACAGGGTTCAAAAAAGAGCTAGATAGATTAATGGAGGTTAGGTCCATCAATGGCTATCAGCAATGCAGCTTCGATCAAACAAGGAATAAACAGTGTCCTCAGAGGAGACGTCCTCAGAGTGCCCATAATACCAATAAGCAGGCGAGCAAGCAGCAGGTTTGACATGCTGGTTGTGGGTCTGCAAAATTTCCCCATCACGCACCAACCATCATATCCCACTCCTGCCTTTCACTGTCGTTTGAGGCCTTTTCGTCATTGCTGGGCCACTATCACGTCAGACCGTTGGGTCCTCAAAATCATTACATCAGAGTATACCATCCCATTTGTGTCTCTGCCACTTTCACATCCTCCCTGCCCCTCTTCAGGGATCCTGCTCACGAAGATCAGCTAAAATGAGGTGCAGCGTCTGCTCAACTTTGGAACAGTTCAGTTGGTACCCGAAAGCTTCAAAGGAAAGGGGTTCTACTCCCATTACTTTTTCACCCCAAAGAAGATGGGCGGCTGGAGGTCTATTTTAGACCTCCGCAGATTGAATTGATATCTTTGGAAACAATGATTCAAAGTGGTTACCCTAGCATCAGTAATCCCAGTGTTAGAGAAGAGAGACTGGTTTGCAGCCCTCGACCTGCAGGACACTTATTTTCACCTAACTATTCACTCCACATACAGACGAGTCCTACGTTTCGTGGTGGGAACAGATCATTACCAATACCGGGTGCTACCATTTGACCTTTCTTCCGCACCCAGAGTGTTTTCAAAGATGCTGGCTGTTGTCGTGGCCTACTTTCGCAGACGAGGCAGGATTATCTTTCCTTATCTACACGATCCCTTGGTAAAAGGGCCCATCAGAAATAGAGGCACACCAAATGATAGCAACAACCAGGCAAACATTCGAGCTGTTGGGCCTTATACTAAATATACAAAAATCAACTCTACAACCGACACAAACTCTAGAGTTCATAGGTACTCGACTAGATTCTGCATCAGCAAGGGCATACCTACCTCTGCAAAGGTTTCAAGTGATCCAAGACCTTATTGTTTGGACTTCCATATAAATGAACCAATTATACTCCCTTCCTTATATCCTAAGCCACACTTAACTACTAGAGATGCGATATTTCATTTGCTGGATGTACGTAGAGCCCTTGCTTTTTATATAGCTAGGACTCGATCTTTCTCCAAGTCTGACCATTTACTCATTTCCACAATGGAGCATACTAAGTGGCACCCTCTGTCATCATAACGTATCTCCAAGCTTATAGTCTCCTGCATTACGACATGCTATACCTTAAGGAAAAACCACTTCCTCAGATACCTAGTGCACACTCTGCAAGAGCTGTTGCAACATGATACGGTGTTCACGGCACTGATAGTGGCAGCACCTATTGAGATTAGGGGCAAGCCTGCAATGCTGAGCCATGACTCCACCTCACATTGCCATTTCCTCGCAACATCAGGCTCAGCACCTCTGTGGTCCAGCATGGAATACTCCTCAGGCCCCAGAAATGAATCTTTGACATCCTCCCATAGCCAGTAATGATTCTGCTCACGGCACTGTTCTCTGCACTGCTCCAGGCTCCACAGACTGCAGAAGGCATCAGCATTGCTGGTCTCTTGTCCCTGTCAGTGGCAGGGTCCAGTAAGCAGTGTTCTGTATAAGCTGAGCAATTGGGCAGCCACCCAGGAGAGATTCAGATGCTGCCCAGCTGATAGGCAGAGCACCCACAGCCCGCAGCATGTGTTTCTACTGGTGGTGCACATCCACACATGCTTGGTGTAAGTAAAATTTATTCCACATGTGGGTGGGAAAAATTAGAGGGAACATTGCCAGTGAGCTGGCCCTTTAGAACTTCTTGTGCCTACCACCAAGCCCTAGGGCTCGGCTCACAAATTGCATTGCTGCTGTGGCACTGCGAGACTCTCCTTTTGGCCACACACTGCCAACACGGGGAACTAGTGTTGAGCATGTGCAACACCATCATGAGGAGCTGGCTTCAAAGGTGTAGTACCTCCCATGTCTGTGCCTCAGTCCAGCTTCTTGCCTCCGCTCTCTCAAGCAGCAACAGCCACTGAACTGCTCTATAGAGATGTTGAAGAACAGGATGTTCTGGTACTGTGTACCTCCTCTCTTCATCTTCAGATAAGGTGGTGGCAGACACCTCCATGACCACGCTGCCTGTCATGGTGTCATCGAGCATCTCTGCGCCGAGGGTTTTGGTGCTGTTTGTCTTGTAGGCGCTGCATGTGCCCGGGGCGAAGAGTGACTCTGAGTTGGCGATCATGCCAGAGAATGAGTCTTATCAAGTGAGTCTTATCAAGTGAGTCTTATCAAGTGAGGCTTATCAATGAGGCTTATCAAGATCTCCTCAGGCCTGTGGCTCAGGAATTACACCTTCAGATAGAGGAGTTCTGAGAATTTTGTCAAGAAAACATGATTCTTCTTCGAACAGTGTCCCGTGGGTGCTCCACTGTAGGTGTCGGGCTCGTCCCGGCACCGCAGATCGGAGATCTTTTCTAGCCATAGTCTGCCGGACCGCGCATGCGCGAAGTGTGTGTGCATGCGGTCCGGCTCCCGCCAGTTCCTCCTGACCGTCCTCAGCCGCGGACGGATTAATTGCTCTCTCATGAACTCCTGTTTCACAAAGACAGAGAGAGCTTATCAGTAGTCTTTATATACGTAGTTAAAAGTTATAGTTCTAGTTCTTCTTACTTATAATTAATAGTTCTAGTCGTTTAAAAAAAAGATTTTTCTTCAATAGTTATACTGTTAGTTCTCAATGCCGAGGTTTAAGAAGTGTGGCGAGTGCCATGAGGCAATGCCTGCCTCCAACGGCCATTCCTTGTGTATCAGGTACCTCGGGATGGCCACATACCCCAAAAATGTCCCCATTGCTCTAAACTCACAGCCAGAGCAAGAGGAGACAGGGACATGCGTTTGAAGATCCTCCTATTTGACAAAGCCTTGCCGCCCCAAACCCAACAACCAAAGGGGCATACGGAACAAACTAAGAAAACGAAGAGGAAACCGTTTCCAGCACGATCCCTCTCACCTTCACAAACGAGCATCGGTGATAAGCCAGGAACATCAGCGGCACCTGATGGCTAGAAAAGATCTCCGATCTGCGGTGCCGGGACGAGCCCGACACCTACAGTGGAGCACCCACGGGACACTGTTCGAAGAAGAATCATGTTTTCTTGACAAAATTCTCAGAACTCCTCTATCTGAAGGTGTAATTCCTGAGCCACAGGCCTGAGGAGATCTTGATAAGCCTCATTGATAAGCCTCACTTGATAAGACTCATTCTCTGGCATGATCGCCAACTCAGAGTCACTCTTCGCCCCGGGCACATGCAGCGCCTACAAGACAAACAGCACCAAAACCCTCGGCGCAGAGATGCTCGATGACACCTGAGCACCCCTCCTCTCCTACGAGGTCGCTAGCACTGAGTCAATCATCGGTGCCGAGGAGTCCGTCGCCCCCTTCACACTTGAGGGCACCGAGACACCAATCACCGGCAAGACGTTCAGCGGCACCAGAGCGTCCCTCTTCACTGCCACGTTTGCTGGCACCGAGTTGCTCTTCGGCACTGGTACGATCGTCGGTGCAGAGGCTTCCTTCTTTAGAAAAGCGCCAACAGGCACCGGGACGACCTTCCCCTTTGAGACGCTCCCCGGAACCGAGGCGATCACCTCCTTCCAAACATCACTCCGGCCCATCACGATCGTCGGTGCCAACACGATCTACTGCGATGACACAGAGCACTTTGGCACCATCTGCTT